GGGGTTGCACCATTTTACACTCCCCCCAACAGTGAATCAGGGTTCCAGTTTCTCCACAACCTCGCCAGCATTTATTGCTTGCTGTTCTGTTAAATTTTGCTATTTTGACTGGGGTGAGATGATATTTCTCTCTTGAACTATATAATTAGTGAATGAAAGGGTCTTTGACTCACTTAAGTATCTAGTCACTTGTAATAGAATGAAAGATACGTAAAGAAATTGATAATCACTATTTTGAGTTCTGCTAGGGGACATTTTAGCCACAGAACTGAAACATTCTACTTCAGTTAAAATGCTTTGATGGTCCAGTTAGCTCTAAATTGGTAGCTTTCTAAATGGAAAAGGGGGGGAGGCGGAATGAAGCTGGTTGGTTCACATAGACTTTCTACTTTCTGACTTGTTTACTTATGTAGACAGCAGTATTAAATGATAAAGTAGTTGAGTGAATTCCATATGGAAAAGATTTGTAATTTGAATCTTGGAGATTTTAAAGAAGAGGATAAATAGACATTTGTAAAAAGTGAATCAGCAACATCAAGTGAGAGAATTGGACTGAGTATTAGTAATAGATCTTTAATAAAGTCTATCAAGCTACCTACTCTGATAATGCTGATGTACTTAAATTGTGAATTGAAATGTGAGGTGTTAGGGAGTGAGATGGAGACAGGGCATTGCTATCGTAGGATACTCTGGTGTAATTTGCTAGTTCACTATGTGCTGAGACATGTGGCCTTTCTGAAATGCATTTGTTTGATTTCAGATCGACTATCACTACATTTCCTCTCAGGGCTTTCCAATTGAAGGCTGGGCAGTTGTGTACTACATCACTCACCTGTAAGTACACAAGATGACTCATGAGACACTCATACTGTGAAATGACATATAGGGAAATGTAGGGGAAACTATGACAGGAAAAGACAAAGTTGACTGGCCTATTTGGTCCCTGCTAGGCTGTGTGTGGCATACTGTCTGTTCACACTTGAAAACTTGGGACCGATGGCATGCTGCTGGGAGTGGTTCCCTTCCTGCTTGCCTGCCTGAAGTGGCTAGAACTCTGGTAGAGGGAAGCATAGCTGACAGTGTGTGTGGCAAGTAAGACCTTGTTGAGCACTTAGAATGAATTTTCTGAATTTGGCCCCTTTTGTAGGAAGCATGAGAATTCCTAGAGTAAAGTCTGTAATCTAACTTGTTGAGTGAGAGCCCGAAAATCCCTGCTGTTACCTGTTTTTTTTTCTTTTCCAGTTTGAAAGGAGCACTGTTGTTCATCACCATTGCACTCATTGGCACAGGGTGGGCTTTCATCAAGCACATCCTTTCCGATAAAGACAAAAAGATCTTCATGATTGTCATCCCGCTCCAGGTAAAGGAGCCCTCGGCCTTCTCATCCTCGTTCCTTTCTTCACTTACCAGGACTCATCTCCAGGCCGCTGGGATAGGGGAGTCCGTTTACCAGCCCCAGAAATCCAGCCTGTGCCGTTGGTGTTGAAGAGTCTCTGTAATTCTGACTGTGGGTAGAAATCAGTTCTACTTTTACCAACTTCCGTGCAGCACTGCTTCCCCTGACCTTTTTCATTAACAGTTCAGGTGCCACACGTTAAAGGACACAGTCCCCCATGCTGACAGCTAGTCCCAAAATTTCACACACTTGTCATACATTTGGAGGCTCCACAACACCCACACTTTGGGGACCACCTGGTGTCTCCCTCACTTCTGATCAGTTGCCTCCTGCTAGTTACTCAGGCTCAACGAAGTCAGAGAACTCACAGAAAGTGCTGTACTTAAAATTACAGTTTTAGGATAGAAAAAAGGGGGGAGGGCAAAAATGAAGAGATGCATAGAGCAAGATGTGGGAGGGTTCCAAAAGTGAGCCTTCTGGGTCCCAAAGAGAACGTGTTACCCTTCCCAGAGCAAATGGCTTTTGCTAGTCATGAAGGTCAAAGAGATTCATTGTCCAGAGCTTATACTTGGGGGAGCTCTCATTAGTCATACAAACTCAGGATCCTCTTTCTTAAGGTTTGTCTGTATTACAAGGTGACACCATAGATCTTTTTTGCCTGAACATTACCTCACTTGGCACAACCTATTAAGTATGATCTGGTGTCTTCGCTGAAAATACTTAAATCTTACGTTGTCAAATTGATGTGTGGGGGTTTTGTTGTTGTTGTTGTTTTTTTTTTTTACTTTTTTAAAAAATCATTTCTTCACATTTCCCCCCATCCCCCAACAATGCGTCCATCCCTTATTCCAGATTGTTGTCATACTACATTGCTTTTTTTTTTATTAGATTTTATTAGTTTTAATGAACATTTACAGAGATTTTGGGTTTTCATTCATTCATTGTTGCACTGTTTTCTCCACCCTCATCCCCAGTTCATTCTTCTCCCCCCCCCCAATGTCTGTTTTAATTGTCCAATTGCCACAGTGCTTGTCAAAGCCAGTTCTGTTTAATCTCCTTTGTCAGTGTGTCCTTTGCCATTCCCTATCACTCCTCCCTGAGAGAGACTTCACCCTGATTCATAAGGAAAAGGGGACGGCGTATTCTCTTAGCTACTTCCTGCTGAAAAGGGACGCTGTGGGTTTCAGGGTGAAGGTCTTCTCTCACTACTCTAAAGGGCCCCTTTGGCAGTAGGAAACACATAGACTATTATGGAGATTGATTTTGGAATTTAGATGCACTGTTATCAATTGTGCTTAGCCATACATGTTCATATACTTGAAGATGTATCATGGAAGTGTTGCAGCCTAGAAGATACAAATTTAACAAGTTAAAAGTGCATGAGTCAAAAATTGAAAAGCAATAATATTCTGAGTAGAGGTTCTAATAGTGGCACAAATCAAGTTACAGAGGTTAGGTGGTTCCATTGCCATCCTTACTCTAACTTAATTCTTTTTTTTTAATTTAAATTTGTTATTAATTTCAGTGAAAATTTACAGAGGCTTTGGATTTCCATTCATTCATTGTTGTAGATTTGTCCCCTTCCAAGGCTCCCCCCCCAGCAGACATTACCCTCTTGGAAAAGAAAAAGAAAAGATTCTTTCATTATTTTACAAACCCTCCCCCAGGTCCACTCCACCATGTAGCATCGCTCTAGACTCCTGTCATGACCGAAATACCTAATCACATATCTCTTTTAAAAAGAGCTCTTTCAAGATCTAAGGACAGAGACCAAAACCTTTGGATAAATTTGATGTAAATTCACATATTGACAAAAACATAAATTTCAAGTAATTTCACTGGGCAGTGCTTACTTTCCTGTCTTCTTTAAACTGCCATGTTGGAGCCTAGACTTTTTAAAGAAAGCTACTGAAAAGTTAGGGAAATATTTCCATTTTTCTTCTGGATAAGTTTGCCTATAATAAAATAACTTTGGGTGAAGCATTTTAGCTACATAGTGATTTCATTTCACTTTGAGTAAAGCAGCATAGATACAGAGTGATTTTAATAAATTGTCTTAAAACTACAAATGATACCAATGATTCTTCTCAAGATTGATTGTGGGATAAAAACAGTTGCTGCACACTTCTGTGCTTTGCACTGAGGCTAAACTTCAAGGTTATAAGCTTCTTGGGAGAAAAACCTTGTCTTGTTTTGGTGGCCTAGTTGTAAGGAGCTGTGCTGCCAAACCACAGTCACACAGTTCAGATCCACCAGCTGCTCTGTGGGAGAAAGATGGACATCCTCCTCCTTTGTGATTAAGCTGCCTTTGAAAACCTGCTAGAGGGTCAGCTGTGAGTTGGTTCTCACTTGATGGTACACAATCACTTGATGGTACACAACAACAACATGGAGAAGCAGAACCTGGACATTTCTATAAATCCTGTAATAAATAGAGTGGTTCTAGTAGGAATACATAACTGCTCTACTCTGCTGGACCAGACACATTGGTTTGCTAAAATTGCTCTCATTAGCTAACATCTTTTGGTGTGAAATATAAATGTGGCGGGTGGGAGAGGAGGAAGCTAATTCCCAGAGCACCCAAGTCAACATTGGTGCTTGTTGACATCATTAACAGCAAAGGAACTTTGACATCAGTAACACTGACCATATCTTAGTACTAAATGAATGGTATAGACCAATTGTTAAGTTTCTAAGAAGATAATAATCACCTCATGTTGAAATTACCTGGAAAGGGCTTTATGGCTGAGATGCATCTTTATTGGATATTTAAGGAAAGGAATGTGACAGTAGGAAAAAGATTCACAGGGAAAAAAACATGTAATGCTACTTTCTTTTTATTTATCCTACAAGATCTGTGGAACTATTTGGGCTTTTTGGCTGCTGAACTACAAGTTTTTCTGGCTGTAACGTAGTTCCCACAGGCAGCAACTTCTCAGAGCTTATAACGGATGAGACTTGAGTGCTCTTCCCATTTACCACACTGGCTCCCTGTTGTCCTTTCTCTTAGCTGCTCCTGTCCACCGTGCTTTGAATCCTCTTCATTTAGTGTGAACTCTGGTTGAGCTGAGTCTTCGTAGTTTACTCCTTTTTTTGCTTCCTCAAAAGATACACACAGGTTATACAGATGATCACTTTGCGGAAACAAAGACATAAGAAATACTAAATATGCAGAAGTTTTGAGTATTTAAACATAGGGACTCGTCTGAGAACTAGTCTGAAAACTGCTAACTTTTGACCTTGGGGAACTGCTCAGAGATTCTGAATAAGGCATCAGGAATGTACAAAATGTTTTTTCCCAACACTTGGCCACCTCAGTGATTTCTTGTGTCCTCTAGGTCCTGGCGAATGTGGCCTATATCATCATAGAGTCCACTGAGGAAGGGACGACTGAATATGGCCTGTGGAAGGACTCTTTGTTTCTGGTCGACTTGCTGTGCTGTGGCGCCATCCTCTTCCCAGTAGTGTGGTGAGTTCCCTGCATGGAGGAGGTCACATGGCACTCGTTTCTCAAAGCCCACGGCTCGAGTGGCCAACCCCAGACTGATCCAGATCACACAGGGCATATGTTGGTGGTGGTTGATTGTTTTAGATTCTTAAATTATTTTTTAAAAAAATATAGCTTCCTGGATCACAGACGGACCTAGATCTTCTTCAGGGGTGGCATCCTGCAATTTGTCAGTGTTAGTCTCCACTTGATTCTGCAGAAACCAGTCTGGCAGCATGAGCTGGCATTTAGTACCGTTCTAGACGCTGGAGAAGAGTCTGGGAAGGAGACTTGTGTAAAATCTGGTATTAACAGCATGAATTTTGGAGGTGGTTGGGTGGGAAGAAGCAGTTTGAAGAAGTCATCCCATAGATAGCCTAATCTTGCCAAGTTAGAAAATGACATGTGTTAGCCTAACACTAGTGATAGTTCACAGCACATAAACATTTTTTGTATCTTCATAGTGGTTTGTTTCATTTCTGGAAATGAAAACTTTTAGATGTATAGATTGCACTACTTAAAAAAATTTTACTTTATTAATTTTAATGAACATTTACAGAGATCTTGGATTTCCATTCATTCATTGTTGTACTTTTCTCCCTGCCCACCCCTCCGCTCCAGTTCATGCCTCTCTTTGAAAAGTAAAAGAAAAATTCTTTCATTGGTATACAATCCCCCCGCACTCCTCCCACCTCCCTGAGTCCACTCTACTATGCAACCTTCATTCTGGACTCTTGTGATAACCATTATACCCTATCATATATCGCTTTTAAATTGTTCTCTTCCTCTTCTGTTTCAGTGCAGTATACATAATTTATCCAGTTTTTCTCAGTCTTACCCCAACCCTGATTTCAGTCCCATTCTACAACAATGGCACCATGCAGTATTTGTCCTTTTGTGATTGAGATATTTCACTCAGCATAATGTCCTCCAGGGTCACCCATTTTGAATAATATTGCATGAGTTCCTTGTTTTTCAATGCAGGGTAGTATTCCATTATGTGAATATACCACAGCTTCTCTAGCCATTCGTTTGTTGATGAGCACTTAGGTTGTTTCCAACTTCTTGCTATTGTGAACAAAGCCATGATAAACATGGGTATACATATATCTGCTTGGATGTCGGGTATGGTCTCTTTAGAAGATTTCACTTTGATTCCTGTAAAGAAATTATGCCAACTCAGTGGTGGAATGGAAGGAATATCCTCATGAAATCACATGCAGAAGGATGGGAATGTGTGGTTCCTTGTACGAGAAGGAGGATGGTGACGTAGTCCCTGGGGGGTGCACTACAGACCCAGCTGCTCTGAGGGGGAGAGGTGGGAAGTCTCTTCCTGTATGATTTACAGCCTCTGAAAATCCACTAGAGACTCAAGAATGAATCAGTTCTGCCTCAACGGCAATGACTTAAGCATGTATTGAAAGATAGGAAGTTAGCAGAAAGAAAAAATTTACTTTACCATTAATCTAGTCCCATAGTTAGATTAAGCAGGTGAAAAGACATTCACTTGCTTCCATTAGAAGGGAAAAACCTCACTGCCTTTGAGTTGGATCCAACTCCTAGTTGACCCTCCACTGGATTTCCCAAGGCTGCCACTCAGGAGAAGATTGCCCATCTTTGTCCCTTGTAGCCACTGATGGATTCGAACCACCAGAGCTCCCTTTGCTTTTTCCAAAGCAGATCACTGGCTCTTTTTGACAGCGTACCTCTGGTGGATTTGAACATGTACTTCTTTGGTTGACTGCTGGACACCTTCAGCGTTTGCACCATCCAAGGACTCTGCTTTCAAAAGTTCATGCTTAGGGAGCTCTGGTGGCCTAGTGGCAAGAAGCTATACTGCAATCCCAGAGGTATGTGGTTCAAATTCACCAGATGCTCTGCTGGAGAAAGAGTGGCAATCCCCTCCTGTACCAGTCAGATTTGATTTGTCATTATACACACACAAAAAAAATAATAATAATAAATGAAATGTTTCTGGTACAGGACCAGTAATACAAAAAAAAACAGTGTACAAGTACATGGCTAATACACTCATTTTGCAATACTGCAACTTTAAGTACATATTGTTGACTATCCATAGTCCACACAGAGTTATAACTCCACACACACTTCAACAATAACATGTTGACATTTCCTAAAAAAACTACTTTTAAAAAAAAGGCATATGCCAGATGTTCCCTCATTTGACCAACTCCATCTAAGTTTAGATGTGCAGAACGGCTTAGATATATCCAGAGTAAGCCACATGCAACATAGTACTTGCTCAGTTTTCTTTTTTTTTTAAACTTTTTTTATTATTTTTTGTGCGTGTACCGTCAAATTGGATCTGACTGGTACAGGAGGAGACTGCCCCTCCTTCTCCAGCAGAGCATCTGATGGACTCAAACCATGTACCTTTGGGATTGTAGTGCAGCTTTGATCAGTTTTCTAAAATAAGGTTACAGGACAGTGACAGATAAGAGAAAAAAACATGGAGGAATGAACTCCTAATTACTGTACATTCATATTCTTTTGTCCGTAGAGAGAAACCTTTTACAGATAAGTTACAAAGAAAGAAAAGGCAAATAGATTTGTACAAGAAATTGAACACATTCTGTACAATTTCTTCACTTTGCTGTCATCATTTGTACAAACTCTTCATTGTTTACTTGCCCGTCACCATCAATATCTGCTTCCCTGATCATTTCATCAACTTCTTCATTTGTTAACTTCTCTCCAAGGTGTGTCATCACTGCTGCACTAATATCGCCATTGCCATCTTTATCAAACACACTGAATGCTTCTCTAATTTCTTCTTCACTATCCATATCTTTCATTTTTCTTGCCATCATTGTCCGAAATTCCGGGAAGTCACTTGTGCCATTACCATCAGCTTCTACTTCATTAATCGTGTCCTGTAATTCTGCTTCTGTGGGATTCTGTCCAAGAGACCTCATTACAGTTCCCAGTTCCTTTGTTGTTATAGTTCCATCACCATCCTTGTCAAATAGTGAAAAGGCTTCTTTGAATTCTGCAGCCTGCTCTACAGTCAGTTGGTCAGCCATGCTGCAAGTGCTCCTGCTCTCCAAGACGCGACCGCACAACCACTCAGCTCACTTGCTCCACTCGGACTCTAACCTGAACTCTGTCACACATCACTCAAGGACAGGAGTTAGTTCAACAGACAACTCCCAGCACAGAAGAGAACAGATGAGTCTAATTACCACCTCTTCCCACCTTTCTCAGGACTAAAATATAATTGTTACATACATAATTCAGGCATATATAACATTGGATAACCAGCTTTGTCTTCAGATTAAAAAAACACTTTACTGTCGCTACTCGTACTGCTATTAGAATAGTAAAATGTACATCTGCTACTATCAGAATAATTGAAGAATATGGGGTGTTAGTGAGCCCCAGAAGAGCAACACGGATCAGTTTCTTGCCACTAACTAACTATAACACTCAAAAAGGAACCAAAGCAATTCATTGCCCAGTTGTAACCAATTTTACCTTCTCCAGTGGGTTTATCAGAGACTATAAATCTCACTGGAGATTGCCCATCTTTTCTTCTTCGGAGCAGCTGGTGGATTTGAACTGCTTACCTTTGATACTAGTCCACTTTGCTTATTCAGTAGGCCAGTAGAGCCTCCTACCATGATAATACACATCATGAAGTTTGCTGTAAAACCTAAAAAAATTAAGTACTAAAAGTGTAATTTTATAAATACTATGCTTTTATTATTGGTAAATATTTTTTAAAATTTGAGGTTACAATATATACTTTAAAACTTGCTCCCGTTTAATAATTCTTTTACATATTATTCTGTGACATTGGTTAACACGGTGTCAGCAGTCTCATTTCTCCTCTGTTGTTTCACTTCATCCCCGTTAGTCTTAACTCATTGCTTTCTAAACATCTCATCTATGCTTTATAGTTATTTTTGTCCCTTTGGTCTCAAAAAAACCCCTAATTTTTTAAAAAGATGCCATACTTAAGGAAGACATTTTTTAAAAATTCGGCCTAACTTCCACTTAAAGACAGCTTCAGGCAGTGAATGGCACATTTCAGGGCAGTCATCTTGTGGATTCCCCCAGCCTCAGTGGGTCTAGTAAGTCACAATTCCATGGAAGTTTGATGTTCTGTTCCACATTTTTTCCTTATTTATCAAGATCCACCTATTAGTTCCCTGATGGACATACGTTGTAATGGGGACGAGCACCATCCAGTTCTGGTCTCGTGTGAGAGGAAGCAGAGGTTGATGAAGGCTAGTGCTTCTGCTGTCCAGTTGCTACTCCTGGATGTCCTCCTTCCTTCATTGCTCCAGGCCAGCAGGGACCAGTTGTTGTTCTCCGGCTGCTCACAAGCCTCTCAGACACTCAGCAGTACTCACCACACTGGAAAGTAGGCCAAAACCTTTAAAAGCCTGATTGTCTGGATTGCCCCTCATGATCATGACCCTAATCCTTCAAACCGAGAAAACTTGTTTAATGAAGTGTTTGATTTTATCTAAATTGTATCACCAGCCATAATAAATAGTCCATTTTTCAGAGGGGAAGGGATTGGGTGAGGTGAGATATTAATTCTAAAACTAAATATAACATAGTCACCAATTTGTCCCTTTGCTATTCTACAGCTTCATAGTGTCTTTTACATTAATCAGGTTATATAGTTCTTAACCCATATTGAATATCACCTTTCTCTTAACCATAAACAAAAATTCACTATTACCTTAATCAAAAGAATAAAAAGACAACCCACAGACTGGGAAAGAAATTTTTGAGAACAGTGTATCTTTAAAAAGTCTGACATCTCACTTTAAAAAGTCTGACATCTCGGGGAGAGAAGTGCAGCAATGAAATTCAAAATCTCTGTAAATGTTCATTAAAATTATTTTTAAAAAAAGTCTGACATCTATTTTATATATACATATATACACACATATACACATACATATATAAAACTTAACATGTTAACAATAAAGCCAAATAACCCAGTC